AAGCTGAGGGACAGCACCAGGCCCAGCCCCACAATCATCAAGAAAGAGAAAGAGAGAGAGAGACACACACACACACAGACAGAAACAGAGAAGGAGAGAGAGAAGAAGGAAGGAAGGAAGGAAGGAAGGAAGGAAGGAAGGAAGGAAGGAAGGAAGGAAGGAAAGAAGGAAGGAAGGAAGGAAGGAAGACCATCTCCTTCAAGCACAGGCTGAGATCAGGGGACCCAGGGCCAGCTCAGACTGAAATTGGATTTTCAGAGCATAGTTCAAAGTCCAGGAGTCCCACATCAGGTCCGGCCACTCATCACATAAGCCCAAACCAACCAAACAAACACCATGATGAAGGGCAAAGAAAGGACATTAGTGACATGGCAGCCATGGAAGACAATACTTCAGTACATTTTCAGTCTTATTCAGGAGCACAGACATTGGCCTTGAGCTAAAAAGGGAGAATTGGGAGCCATGAGGTGTAAATGGTATGTGCAGTTAAACAGTCCTGCTCAAGGATATTCTGGTTGGTTATTATTTCAGCTTTTGTTTTTGGAGAGATTTTGCAGTTGTTACCACCTTAGCACTGGATTGGAACAGGAGCTAGTTTTCTAACAGGTGAGCTTCTGAGATGAAAAAAATTGCCTGTTTGAGGGGCAATTTGCCTTCTGTCATGCTGATTGGTGAATGCTGTTCCTCCTGAAGTCTAAGTGACTGCAATAGAGACTCACTCAGAACAAAGGGTACAGATACAAAGTGAGAGGTGGGGAGCTAATGTCAAGCTTTCAGTTAATTCACAAGGCCAGCCTTGTGAATTACAAGACCTCTGACAAGACCTGTGCATTTCAAGACCACCAGGCGATTCCTACCTCTAACCACAGCTCCTCCTCCTGCTACAGCCCTGGGATGGTCAGAAACTTGTCTTGAGATGCAAGAAAGAAGGAAAAAGGGTTGGACTTCAGTGGCTCAGCCCTTAGAAAGCTACTTAGAAAGCTGATCTGAGGATGATGGTTCAAAGCCAGCCCAAACAGGAAAGTCTGTGAGATTCTTATCTCTTATCTCTTATTCACCACCAAGAGCAGAGTGATGGGATTTGAGAAAGGCTAGAACACCATTACTGACTTTACAGATGGACAGACCAAGTAACCAAGGAATGCTGGCAGATAACAGAAGTTGGGAGAAAAGAAAGGAAAATGGATTCTTTCCTAGAACCCCTAGAATGGACACCATCCTACTTGATGTTAGACCAGTAAGAACCATTTTTATAGCTTCTCCGTGTGGCTGTAAACCATCTCTGTGGTGGTTCGTTGTAGTAGAGACTACAACTACTGTAACAAGAGACTACTACATCAAGGACAGCAGACATGTCTTTAAAAGGCACCCTATACTCCTGCTTATCCACAGACACTTTTAACAGAGTTACATTTTGCCCAGGTGTTGTATTGAAAAGTAACTGGGTCAGGAAGAAATATCGAGTTAGATTAATCTTGAATCTATAATCCCAAATAACCTTAGGTGCCCACTGTGTAGAGCTCAGGGACCTATAAGCCCCTGAACCAGAGGAGATCAACCTTCTTCAAGGTGTCCTCCACACAGAGCACGTCCAGGGTCACAGGGCAACTTAACTCACACACTCTGATTTGTTTCTCCCTTGGGGGGTATATAATTAAATTTGCATAAATAAGAGAGCAAGCACATGCTGTAATCCATTGTCAATTCAGATCCCCCCTTCTAGTTTGCCAAGGAAATAATGTAAAACACACACACACACACACACACACACACACACACACAGACCCCAAACCCAAACCTTGTATTGTGGCTTGCTGTCTTTTCACAGGAACTCTACCCACTTAACTTTGTCATCTCCGAGCCCCATCCACCCCCAAGAGCACTCTCTACCACTGCTTTCCACATTACAGCTTTTCTGTGGAGGATTTGGGCCTCTCTTACCCAGATTTGTGATACCCTTGAACAACAAAGTATTGATTTGCACATTAGGAGACAGCACAGAAATGATAGCATCCTGCAATTTGTTCCCCTGAGCTCCACTTCTATGGTATTTCCAAGATTTATCCATATTGATACATAGAGCCAGGGTTTATTCTTCTAACACTGAATATTTGATTTTAATAAAACATCACTATCCCTAGGCATTTCACTTGTTTCCAGTTTTTCTTTAACACTAACATAGCATGTATGATCAGTCTTCTATATTTGTTGGTACCCTATGCTGCTAGATCTAGAATTCCTCTCAAGTATACACTTAGGAGAGAAATTGCTAAGAGGAAGAGTGCATTTAGCTTTAGCATTGCTGGCTATTGCCAAATTGCTTGACACAATATTCACAGTAATTCCCCATCAGTGATGGATGTAAGTTTCTTGTAAGCAGTATACAGCCAGCATACTCATTTGGGCCCTCTGATGGCTTACGGGTCATGTGTTCCTCAGGCTGTGGTTGTACACATCTACTCCCCTGATTCTCACAGGAGCTCCGGGCACTGGTGGCACAGGATTTATGGCCACCTGGCAAGAGGGCATCCTGAGGCCTGGGGAGGGCATGAGGAGCTGACACTACTGGTTGTGGCCTATCAGGGGCTAAACACACTTGGGAATCTTAGAGCCTGGACACAGGATCAGAACATGGACCCTGAAATCTACTATTGAGAATAAAAGATTTTAAACAAATCAATATTATGCAGTGCATATCTATTATCCACAGTAACTGTCTTATGGAGTTGGCTATTTCATAAAATACCTACGTCCACTCCTCCTTTGATCCTGACAATATCTACCTAAGTCTTGGGTCATTACTGCTCCCAATTAACAGATATGGGAAGTGAGGCTCACAGACAGTCAGTGCAAGATGGGGGTCAAACTCCTCTGCTTTTAAAGTACATTTTCTAGGTACTCACTGTGTCTGAAGGAGGGTTTTTCAGCACAGGCCAGTCCATGCCATCTCTCCTGGTTTCCCTGGCAACGGAGGTGATACCTCAGACTCAGAGTCTTTACTATCCTGATAAGGTTTCACTCCAGCTTCCATATGCCTGGATCCTAACATCTAGGCTCTGCTCCCTAATAGGCCTGTGACCTTAAGGCACTTCCTCTCTGTGACTTGTTTTTCTCCTCTACAGTGTGGAGCAGCAGCAGTGACCTTCTAACATGGTGGTGCAAGCCAGCTGGAAGAACACATACCCAGTGGCAGGCCTGCAGGAAGCCCTCCCATACTACCTCTCAGGATGAAGGCTTCCAGCTGCCCACACATTGGGAGAGGGGGGAAAGACACCTGGGGCATGCACAGCCCAGGAGAGTCACTGATTTCAGGACACAGTCCCTCTGCCTAGCCTAAGAAAGTCTCTGTTCTGCAGCGGTCAGCTTGTGATACCCAAGCAGGGGTCAGAGGAGCCACAGCCAGGAGCAGGAAATAGTCCTGATCATTTGAAAGGTAAGGCTTTTCTTCCATTTTCCTCTAGGCTGAACAATACTAAAGGATCACAGCCAAGGTTTGCTGTGACCTGCCATAGCAGGCAGGGAGCTGACCAGGCCCAGGATCCAAGAGAGGGCTCAGGGCAGCCAAATCTATTGAGTGGAGTGAAACAGATGAGGTAGTGAGGGACCAACTGTGTATTAGTGACTTCCTGTCCATTTCTATCCACTCAGAAGCCCTTGTCCACTCAGGAAGCAGTTGAAGGTTGCTAGTGGTACACAGCCCCAGGGATAGGGGAGAAAACACATGGTAGAAGGTCTAGGAGACCTTGGCTCCACTCTCAACTCTGCCTTTTTTCTGGGGGGTAGGGAAGGGCTGTCAGTCGTGGGGCTTGAACTCAGGGCCTAAGCAGTGTCCCTGAGCTTTTCTGCTCAGGGCTAGTGCTCCACCACATTGAGCCACAGCTCCACTTCTGGCTTGTTGGTGGTTAATTGGACATAAGAGTCTTACAGACTTTCCTGTCTGGGCTGGCTTAAAACCATGATCTTCAGATCTCAGGCTCCTGAGTAGCTAGGATCACAGGCATTAGCCACTGGCTCCCAGCCCACGTTAACCTTTTAAACCTCAGTGTACCAGGAAGCCAACACCTATCCCACTGCCTCACAGAGCCCAACAGCAAATCATCCACATGGCAGAGTCTCTCAAGTGATAAATGCCAGTCACCTGGTGACTGGGGCTAAGCTGCTCCTGCTCCATGGGTCAGGTATTTGGCTACAGCTATGCCACTAGATCAGGCATACATTTGCCAGGACAGCTGGCTCAATTCACAATCAAGGGCTAGCCTGGTACTCTATCCAGCTTTTCTAGAAACAAAAATCTATAACTGTGGCCTCTAAGGTTCTTCTGATCAGGTGGGGCCTTCAGCTGCAGGGACAATCCCAGTCAGCTGGTGACAGGAGGCATCACAGGCCTCTAGAGGTAGAGTCCAAATACCAGCTTGGTCTCCTGTCAGTGGAGTGACCTTGGGGAAGTCACTTGTCCTCTCTGAGCTTTCGCTCCTCTGTTTGTAAAATAATACCAATTTTGTGCTGTAGTGAAGAATAAAGAGGATCCACTGGTCATCCAACTCTTCAACCAATAACATCTGCCAAGTCTAATCTCCCCAACTATGACCTATGACCTGACATTAATCACCACTCCTTGGCCAGGCTGGGGTGAAACAAGCACAAAATAACTCCATCATCATAGGCCCCAGGGGGCAAGACCTAGGTGGTTATCCATTACCTCGTGTACGCACGTGCGTACACACACACACACACACATATTGACAGGAGCTCTCAGTAAACATTTGTGGCATATCCCAAATGGTAACTGTATGGTACATAAACATCTCTGAGTGTTGGTTTCCTCATCTGTGAAATGGGCATATTCTCATTTATCTAAGTATACAGCTATGGAAAGTAAGCAGCTACAACAGATGCTCCAAACATTGTATGACACTGGGCACACCTTGCACTCCGTCCCTCCCCTCAACCCGTCCCCAGCCCCAGGCAGACACTATGCAAGGCAGCTGGTAAGAGCAATGTTTACTGAGCGATACAGGACTGGGTTTACAGGAAGGGTTTACAAGGATGGAAATGTATCCCACTCGCCCAGCCACCCCCCCTCCCCAACACCCAGAGACTACAGTACTGAGCAGTTACACACAACAGCCATTACTGGTGGGTATCTGTCTGTAACAAACAAACCATAGCATATTTATACTGTATCACATCGAGTGATTATAGAAATCCATATATATATTGCTTGTATAAAATCTTTTTTTTTGTAAAAAATATTAAAAAAAAAAGAAAGTATAAAAAAACATGTGCAGTTGCGAGCCCTGCCAGAACAGCCCGTCTGTAAACATTCGGTATGTGCTTTGGAAGGGCGCCTGCGCCTCAGTGCCCACAGCAAACTCCAGCAGGGCTGGCGAGGGTGTGCCTGGCTGCGCCTCCCGGGCAGGGCGGCAGGGGCAGCAGGGCCCCGCAGCATGCCCCTCTCCAGCTTCGCAGCAGGGCGGAGGCACAGCCGGAGCAGGATGGATTGCAGTTCGTGCTGAGTTCCAATCTCAGCTGTATTTTGGTTGCAACTCATGGCTTTTCCTGGCTGATCAGTGGTCCCTCGGGTGGGTGTCTCAGCAGAGGTCCAGGGAAGTGTCTGAGACTGCCAGGCTGGGCATCTCTTTGGCCCATGACTCCTGTCCTGCCTCCTTCCAGCTGGGCCCCGGGCAGGACAGCCCTTCCCACGGGTCACCTTTGGTCTCAGCGCTTGTTCCCTCAGGATGTCTTCAGCCCACTCTTCCCCTCCCGTTGGCTGATCCGAGTTTCACAAAGGAGTCCGCCGGGGGTGCTGGCTGGCTGAGCTCCATCACAGTTTCTCATGCGCCAAGGAGGGGCCCTCCGGGACCCTCTCCTCTCCCCTCTTTGCCTGTCCTCCTCCTTCCTCTGCTTCGTCCTCCCCGCCCCACGGTCACTTCTTGTCCAGCTGCTCCAGTAGCGGGTTGCCTTCGGACTCAGGGGTCCTGACGCTGTCGGTCCGGACGATGCAGGTGGGGCGGTGACGGTTCAGCATCAGGATGAGCTGCTGCCGCTCCTGCTTCAGCTCTTCAATCTGGGTCTTCAGCTCAGCGTTCATGAGTTCCAGCCGCTCCGACTCCTGTGTGAAAAACAGAGCTCCGCCATCAGTGTTTACCAGACTGCTCAGGAAGAGGCTCTGCAGAGGACAGTGGGGACCAGGGCACCCACCGCTGGCACTTTTGCCAGTTCTCCACCAGAGACCGAGCCTCTGGGTCAACAGCCTGTCCATCACACAGACACTGGCCTTTAGCATAGTGGTTTGATACCTCCGTTGATAGTTCAGGGCGCGCCCAGCTCATGTTCTGCCTCTCTGCTCTCACTCAAGTCACTCAGTCTTAGTGGCCTCCGAGCTGTTGTTCTAGTTTGACCAAGGCTCAGGCCTTTGCACAAGATACTAAAGGTGAGCCGAGATACAAAATGGAGGCCAGATGACTCTAGAGTAGGTCCAAGGAAGGGTTCAAAGAGGCCACAGATGTGTTCATGTGTAGGAATATATTATGGGATTGATGAGTTCAGTAAAGTCACGACATTCCACCTAAAACTTATGCTTTCAGACTATTAGTCTAGAATGATCTAAGCAGACTCTCCCTGCAATTTAGAAGGTGTATCTATGGCTAGGCAACTAACGGTCATCTTACAGGATCCAAATGGGCCTCAAGTGAGAGTTCTAAGGTACTTCCTGTCCACTGGAGAAGCCCTGAGGGAAGGAAGGAATTGGGATAAGCTGGGGAGGGGGAGAGAGACAGAGTTACCTGTTCATTTTAAGACAGGTGACTGAACAGGTGACAAGGTGCATGTCATTCAAGGCTGGAGGTCAAACTGTAAAAAACCTGTCTGACTGGAATGACTTTTCCTGGACCTCTACCAGTTTATGACTTAAAGCTCTCTCCAGATCGATGTCCACGGAGCTGCCATTGATCTTGGGTGGCTTTAGGCCAGTGGTTCTTCCCCAGGAGTCACTCTGCCTCTCCATCTGGAGACAGGGTGCTCCTGGCATATGGCACGGGAATGTGCTGCCATGCTGCCAGGCCCATGGTGGTCTCACAAGAACTCTCTTGGTACAAAATGCAAAACTGAGCAACCTGTCAGCCCCAGGGCAAGGCGGGTACAAATGCCAGTGGGACACGCAGCAGCCTCCCCTCAGGGCAGGGGAGGGGCCCTCCAGAGCCCTTGCCGCCCCCTGCAGTGGTGTTATCCTCACACACACAGCCCTAGGAGAGGGTCTGTGCTATCTCTGAGGGGCGCCAGGGGCCCCCAGGAGCTCTGAACAACTGAGAAAGTCAGGCCTCATGACCAGACACCCACAGCAAACTGCTCCAAAAAGGAAAATTAAACGCCAGCCATGATCTTTAATGGTTTTTTAGTACACAGGCAGAAACTTAAATGGAACATTGGCCTGGTCCACAGTTCTTGGAATTCTGAAAGAAAAAAAAAACAACCATGTGGGGGAGGGAGGTAAGGGGGACCCCACAGGAAGCCATAATGTTCTGTCACCCCACAGTCTGACAGTCTGGTGTCCATTTTGGGTGTAACTAGTGAAACTTCTCACCAATTCTCTGACCATGCAGCTCCCCCAGCCCACCATGTTAGCTCCATCCTCAAATGGTCCTGAGCCTCTGTTTCTGGGGGACCCAGGAACTTGCTGGGTACCCAGTGGGTGATCTGCAGAATGCCAGTGCCACGAGCCCTCAACACAGCTTCTGCTCAGGGAGGGAGGCATCCATCCATACAGCAAGGCAGAGATAACCGGGGTCTGGGAGACCATCAGAGAAGGTGGAGGAATGGGGTGACCTTGGGCTGACGGATCTATAGGGCAGGGTAGGAAAGGAACCTCCAGTGAGGAGCCATGAATGAACAAGGACTCACACTTGGGACTCGGGTAAAAATGGTGCCGGCAGCTCCCCGAGGGCACTCTGGTGTAAGGTGGGGAGGGCAAGTTCCAAGCCACACTGCAGCTCTGGAAAGCCTGGAGGTTGCCAAGCAGAAGCTTGAGCAAGTTCCGTCACTCCTCCAAGCCTCAGTTATCTGGTCTATAAAAAGGCGATGATGGCGGGGATTAGATAAACACACATGGGAAAAGCACTGTGTAAAGCAAAGGGTTAGAGAGGGTTAAGGGCTTTTTTATGTCACACGATGAGCAGAAAAGGGGGAAGGAAAAGGGAAGAGAGCTGTTTCAAAGAAAACTCAGCAGGTCTTGGTGAGTGCCTGGACTTGCAATGCAGGAGACAGGGCAAAGAACTGTGAGATCAGGGGCCTAGAAGGAAGTCTGGGAGGGGAGAACTAGAGAGTGGTGGGCAGAGCATGGAAGGAGTTTGGCTGCAGGTACAATGAGTTCGAAGCTACATATGGACCCACAGCGGGAAGCATCCAACCCACAGAATTCAACAGAATACACAGCGACCCATTTCCTCCAAACTATGTCATGTCAGGTTAACTCTTCCTTGCAGACACCTGTACCATATCAGATCAATGAGGTCACCCTGGGGGTAGTAGTGCACACCTGTAATCCCAGCACTTAGGGAGCTAAGATGATCAGACCAGCCTGAGATATATAGTGAGTTTCTTCTGCAACTATAAATTGTGCTCAGAAGAATCTGTTATTAATCACGGTGGTAACAGTGGTTTTGTGGGTTTATTACTTATTATCTATTCATTTTTATTTATTTATTTTTCTTGAGACAGAGTCTCCTTATAGCCCAAGTTGGACCTGAGTTTGTAATCCTCTTGCCTCAGCCTCCAGAGTGCTGGAATTTCACAGCACCATACCAGGCTGGTTTGTGGTTTTACAACAGCAATTATTTGATGTCTTTTCCTGGTGAATAAAGAAGAAACTGGGCCGGAATCTTCTATGTGCTAATTATACAATAAAATGATTCTGTCAAAAAAAATGATTCTGTCAGCATTTTTTTGGCTATTGTTCTGACTCCTGGTCAACATTATTGCTTTAGAAAAAGGGAAAGTATTTGTTGTTTTAGAACAGAATTCGTACAAATTAAGATTGTGCCTCCTACACATGGGTTAGAAGCCAATAGAAAAAAAATACAAGGTGAGGTGCCAGGTGTTTGGGCTTTTCATCTTGGCTGACGACCTTGGCTAAGTTACATCCCCTCTCTGGGCCTTAGTTTCCTCCCATAAAAATCTGATTGGCTCAGGAGACTTTAAGCATTAGGATTCTCTGCTGTTGTGCTTTAAAAAGAACAAATTACCTCAAGGCTCATAAAATGAGAGTTCCACTAACTTTCTCTAAGAGTTGGGAAGGAGCTCGCACAAGTTTCCAAGTTGTAGGGTGTGTCTGGATTAAAATCTTGCCTCTTGCAAGCTAGGTTACTGCAGACAAGCTTTCCAGGGCCTCTTGAGGCGTGAAAATATGGCTTGAGTGGCAGGCAGCAGAAGCTCGGGTTCTCAGCCCTCCGACACAGCCACGGTTGACCACGAGCAAGACTTTCATTCATTCCTAAGGATCCTGTCAATTACGAGGGGCTCCTTGTCTCCTCTCCAGAGCCACTGACCACTGAGGAGAGAATGGCTGAAGTACAGAGGTTGCCATGGGAGTATGAGATGTAAGATGGTCTCACCGCTACCAAGCTCAGAGAATGTGTGGCAGGCATCCAGGGTGACAGGGAACAGTTAACAGCAGGGAGGAGCCTGTGGACCCAGCCCAAAGGCCTGCCTCCTAGCTAGGGTTCCAGCTTTGTCTACTGGACAGGTGAACTCTCAGAGAGGTGTTAAGAATCACAGGTGTCCTGGGGTCAGGGGTGAGGGCAGGGAGGGTTTAAAAATGAAATGACAGCCAGGCACTGGTGGCTCATGCCTGTAATCCTAGCTACTCAGGAGGCTGAGAGCTGCACTAGCCTTAAGCAAAAGAGCTCAGGGACAGCACCCAGGCCCTGATTTCAATCCCCATGACCGACAAAAATAAATTTAAAAATAAAGGCTCTGACAATCCCTCACATGTACAGACAGATACGGCCATTACAGGAGTCAGTATGGGTGCCTACATTGTCTCTCATTGGACCCCACAACATGGCCTCAGCTGCCATAGCCCTCACAGTGCAGTGAGTAGGGGAGGGAGGGACGTGTGGGACTTCTCCTCGCCCTCCCTTGGCTCTCTAGGACCATCTAAGTCAACATCCCAAGGGGACACGTGTGAGAATAAAGAAGCTATGAGCCTGAAGCTCTCCACATGGCCCACACTGTCCACACCAGCGACCTGGAATATCTCTTCACTTGTGGCAAGTGGGACAAGCGACCTGCAAAATGCCCAGTGTCCGAGAACACCATAGCCAACCAGCCTCTCTCCCTGACAGTGTACCTAGCACAGCACTAGACCTTTAGGGCCATTAACTGAATCAATGAATGAACAAAAGAATAAGTAGATCAACCAATACCTGAGGGCCAGAAGAGCAATGTTAAGAGCAAAAGCTTTGAGGTTTGTTTCAGACTTGCAGCTCAGCCCTTCCATTTAGTAGCTGAGAGACCTGACACAAGTTACTTAACCTTGGGAAAGGCAAGGACAAGAACGAGTGTAACGGTACATACATATAATACCAGCAGTAGGATCTCAAGCTAGAAGCCAGCCTGGGCTACATTCTGAAACCTTGTCTTGAAGGAAAGAGAGAGAAAAAGGAAGAAAGAGAAGAAAAACAAGGAGATGAGCGGGAGGAGGAAGAAAGGGGGATATGAAAGGAGGGAAGGGGGGCTGGAAGGAGAAAGGGAGGAAGGGAGAGAAGAAAGGAGGAAAGAAGGGAGCGGGGATGAGCAGGTAGGACCAGGAGGGATGGGGGAAGCAAGCTGACCTCTATGCATAGCTGACCTCTGGTCCCATTTTCATGGGGCTGAGGGTCAGCCCAGGTAGGACTCAGGACACTCCACCTGTAGCTAAGAGAAGGATCATTCCCTGCACAAAAGCACTCTTGTCTACTAGCACCATGTGCATCAGCACTCACTCTAGACAACTAACTGGTAACCAGGCAAAGCCAACAAGAGTAATGCATTCCTGAGCTATGGTCAATCAGCACCCAGGGTCTAAGCTCAGGGCAGAGGAACCTGGCTGTACTGTCTGCATTTCCAGGTACCTTCAGCTGCTGCAGGCTGCTTAGTTTCAGGGAGACTCAGGGCTCACAAATGGGTATAAGATAGGTGTTAGTGCAGTCAGGGGGCCAAGGCCATGTGGGGGTGGGGTTCCACAGCATCTGGTGACACCCCGGGGTACTGAGAGCCCAGTCTCTGCAAAGGCCAGGGAGGCCTCCCAGCCCACCCCAGGCCAGCCACAGGCTCACCCGCTGCAGAAACTCTGTCCGCTCCTTCTTCTTGTTCCGGCATCTGGCTGCTGCTACTTTGTTCTTCTCCCGACGCCTTTTCCTTCGCTCTTCCTCCTCGTCTAACTGTGAGGGCACAGAGCCACGATTAAATTGTGGTACAGCCTTGCACACTGGCACGTACACAGCTCCCCCATCTTGACCCAATACTCCCTGACTTCCAGCCTCCTGCCCTCAGTCAGCTGAGGTCCTTGGATCGGCGCCCAATAGGAGGGCATCCCTGGAGGAGCCAGTGTCCTGCAAGGGAAGGATGCCTGGACCTGCCAGGGGCCAGGAGCTGGGAGCATGTGTGAGCACACATGCATGCGTGCGTGTGTGCGCGCGCACACACACACACACACACACACACACACACACAGGTAAGCTCAACAACAGGTGGGTGGGACAACCTTTTCTTTTGCCCAGCCAAGGCCTGTGGGCACCGTTTTCTAGGCCAATGGTTCCGAGGCACTTCCTTTTAAAGTGCCTGGGGCAGGACACAAGTTCCCATGCTGCCCCACCTACTGTGACCTGAGGAATGACCTTCACACACACACACACACACACACACCTTTTACCTTCTGCTGGGATTGTAAACCCTCACTGCCTCTCCTGATATTCCTCCCTCTTGGACCTTCTAAACTTCAAGATCTCTTTCCTTAAGCTGACATATCTCCCTGCTCCTCTGCCCCACAGGACAAGAGCTGTGAGAGAGCTGAAAGGCCCCGAGCAGGTATGCTTCTCCCCAGAACATCCTGCAGGCTCACATTGCAGGGAATTGGGCCCAAGGAAGGGCAGGGGAGGTAAAAAAAACCACACTGCCCACCCACTGTGCTGGTGAAGGTTGTGAAGCCTTGCTCTAATAGTAGCAGCGAAGTGCCTCAGTTGCCTGCTTTGCTGAATGCTCTCAGCACGCATGGCTGCATCCTCACAGTCAAGGTGCTGGCACTGTTTTGTCTGTAGACAGTGAGCTTGAGTTCAGCCATTCCCTTCAGTCTAAAGCCACTCAACAGAGAAATGGCAGAGGGAGGATCTGAACTCAGATTTTCCCATTGTCAACCTTCCTGCTCTTGACCACTGGCCGGCACCGCAGTCCATCAAGGGCATTTTGGCAAGGTGCCTCCTGCTGTTCATTACCTACTCGGAAAATCTGGAGGCTTCGCGGGGCCAACTGGGCTGGGGACAGCTTGGAGTCAGAGGCCACTAGAGAAGCTGTTGCACAGCCCAGGCTTGCCAACTCTCTCACTTCTTGGCGGGCCAGGAGTGTGGAGAGTGACCGTAGCCCCACGGACTGCAACAAGGTCTCAGCCCAAAGGGCCACGGGCCAGGAAAGTAAGCAGCCTTTCTCCACACAGTCCCAGCATGCTCTGGGAGCTTGGGACAGAGGGCCAGCCCCCAGCCCAGCACTATGGCCAATGGCAGAGGTGCTGGCCAGGCAAGGCTAGCTCTCATTCTCCTCCCCTCAACTCCTAGTCCTGATCCCCACCCCACCACTACCCAGGGAAGGCTGCTGGAAAGGTGCCTCATCACCCAACACCTCCCAGCCCCGTGGCCTCCTTTGAAAGGGAACCAGAAGTGACAGCTCCTCTGGCTGACCTGCATTTAGGAACATAGAAACCTGGCCAAAGTTGGTTCCGCCCAACCTCAGCCTCACCCCTCTGCAGGCCGAGGTAACCGTGACGACAGGCAGAGGGAAGGAACTGGAGGAAGTGGCTGGCAGCGCACTCACTCCTCGGCCAAGAGGGTTTGCCCACAAACTGCCAAGGCGCTGTGTGCAGCTAAACCTGCCCTTGGCCAGACACACAGCCTCTGTTCTCATGACATGGTCCCACCCCTACCCAGCAGAGGACCTAATTCCAAGGTCAGGAGCAGCAGATGCAAAAAGGCCCTGCATGTAAGTTCAGCACACTCCCAGGTCATCTTGATGCTCAGACGGTGGGGTTGCTCCACCCACCATCTGCAACCTGGTACATTTCCTCCGGCTGTCACCCTGTACTGAACTCAAGACAGCCAGGGCCTCCTAACCCCATGGAGGGGATCTTCTGTCCACACTGGGTAAACTCATACTCATCCTTAAGAGGAAGTCACTTTCTTGTCTATTTGGCTTCCCAGAAGACTCGGCTCCAGTGCTGACACACACTGTGGCATCCCATCACGATCCCTGATTTATACAGACATTTGTCCTCCCTGCTGGAGCGTAGAAGAGGGACCCTCTGAGCATGCACTTAGTTGGAGCTCAACATACATTACTCAGATGAATGAATGGAACAGAGGATGCTAGAAAGAGGCTGAAGGCTTGGATTCTTTAACTATGAACATGTTTGCATCTGTCTGGCTTTTCCCAAGGTGCTCATAGGAGCCTTTTCTGCTGGTTTGGACTCTTGTATGTTTGCCCAGGTCCAGCAAAACTTGGAGTTAGGGTCTTGTCTCTCCCAGCAGTGCACTGGCTAAAGGCAGAATCTAGATTCAGGAGCACAGGCCCTGATGGCTATAGATATCCTACACAAATCTCCTGGCAGGTAGGGGTAGGGGATCAATCGGTATGTGCTTAGGCCTGACGCCCCAATTCCACAGCAGCCAGCCTGTTCCTCCCCCCCTGGCTCCACCCTGGCTGACAACATCTCCCAAAAAGGCAAGAAAGATGTGGTCTCAAAGCCTCTCATCACACCTTCCCCATTAAAATGGTATGAATCTCCCCTGAATCCTCCTGCTGCTGTTTCAGAGCTGCCCAGAGAAGATGCAAGGAACAGCTGTGGAAATCCTCCCAGAAATACAACAAGATTGCAACTCTTAGCCTTCCCCACAGCCACTGGCTCCTCTCGCCAGTGCCTGCACTGTCTGGGCCCCCAACAGGGTCCCTTGGGGTATCTCCCTGTCTTCCTCCCCCTCTTCTCCTCTTCCCCTCCCTGGTGCCTCCTGAATCTTCCAAAGCATTTGGACAGCGTAGGTGAGAGATGGTGGAATGTTTTCACAGTACACAGGGCTCAGAATCTAAAACCAGAACTCCAGACGGGAGATACGATGTTCTCCGCAGACACAGCTGGAAGAACCAGGATGTGAGAGGAGAAGGCAGCCTGACAACGTTTATAGAAACAGAGATGGGGCGGGGGTTTCAGCCTATCTTTTCTTCTTCTCTAACATGGTTCTGGCTCTATTTTCCCCTGGTTCCCAAGAAGACCCAAGGACAAAGAAGTCTGTGTGCTGGTAGTGAGGGGCACCTGTGCCATGCTCTGCAACAGAACCGCCATCAGAGAGGCCTGGTGCTGATCAACCCCTCCTGACCCCACCCCTCCTCAGAGTCCATTCTAAGCCCCTGCTGGGAACCAGGGAGGCCAGTGGCAGAGCAAGCTTCCAATGGCTGACCTGACCTGGGCTGTCTGTCTTCCTGGAATTTGAAGTTGGACTCAAAAGATTCTGAGCACTGGATTGGAGGCATGCAGAACCACCAACTTCAGCCACGCACCCAATGCAGCAAGGGCAGGCTGCTGAAGCTGAGCGATATGCAGAGGCCAGGGAGAAACACTTATTATAGGAGAAAGAGAAGCAGGAAGCCGGGTCTGAGTGGACAAGCAAAGTGCCCAGGGCACGATGAAGGAGGGCCCCACTCTCAGGCCCTCTTCTTCTTTATCAGGTGGAGGCCCCACACAGGAGGAGGAGGCTTACTCTGGTCTTACTCCTGACAGACGGTTCTAGGAAGAGACAGAGACACATGCAGAACGGAAATGGTGGGCGGAGAGGGCAGAGGGAGACAGAAGCAGAGACACCGTCACTGGCTGATGATATACACAAAGGACAGTGGAAAGGGAGAAGGCACACCAAGAGAGGAACCATCTTAGTCCTCTTGATCTCACCCTTGTGGGGACTGCCTATGTTCCCGGTCTTGGGGTTCATGGTGGATACCCCTGAATACATCCTCAAACTTCTCCTTTGGCCTAGAGTGAACCTGAGAAGGTTTCTGCCACTTGCCACTGGAAAATGCTCAGGACACCAAAGTCCCGCCTTTGTAGAGTCAGAAGATGCCAGGTGATAAGGGAGGGGCAGAAGGTGATTTGTAGTGACCTAAGGGAGAAGTCTTCCTCAGCAGCAATGCTTCTAGAACTATCTATATAGAGAGTGGCAGAGCCTGGATGCAGAAGGGCCCATAAAGACAGCCACAAAGAGCAAAGCAAATAACAACAACCAATGAATGAATGAACAAAGAACACGAGTGTATATATATACATATATGTACATATATATACTATATATATGCTATATATAGCTATAAAATGGAATATTATCCAACCATAAAGAAAAGTGAAATCATGTCATTTGCAGGAAAATTAATGGAGCTGGAGGACATCAAATTGAGTGAGACAAGCCAAGTTCAAAAACTATGTACCACATATTTTCACTAATACACAAAAGTTAGACCTAAAAGACATACTTATTTATAGACATGTACATATATACATGTACCTATTTATGTAATTATATTCTTGGATAACTATAGAACAAAGGCCAAATTAAGGAGCTAGTTAGGAAGGGACAGGGAGAGAAAAAAAGGAAAGAGGGTGAAGAACTTTAAAATACACTGTAACTGCCAGGTCCCAGTGGCTCATGCCTATCATCCTAGCTACCCAGAAGGCTGAGATTTGAGAATTGTGATTTGGAGCCAGCCCAGGCAGGAAAGTCTGTGAGACTCATATCTTTAATAAATTACCAAAAAAAGCCAGAAGTGAAGTTGTGGCTCAAGTGGTAAAGCACTAGCCTTGAGAAAAAGAAGCTCAGACAGAGTGCACAGGTCCTAAATTTAAGACCCAGGACCAGCAAAAACAAAAACAAAAAACAAAACATTGCAATATATGAAAATAGCATAGAGAACACCTCAATGAAAGTTGCTGATCATTATGGAGATGGGAGTACAGGGCAAGAGACAGAACAGGCTCTGCTGGGGAGGTTGGAACTAGCAGGAGGGGATTGGGCTAATAAGGAGAGTGACTGAGGATTCACATGGTCCAAGTAGATTGTTTGCATGTATGAAAATAAAACAATGAAACTTGTTGCAATTGTTTTAGGAAGGGGAGGGGTAAAGGAAGGTGATAGAG